AAACTATGTAGTAATTTTGACTTTCTATTAGACAAAAGAATTTTGTCCTAAAAGTCTCAAATACACATCGGGGAACCAAATTTGTTTATTGCCTAACCCCCACCCCTCTTGTTTTGGGGGCTAGCCGCTCCTAATAATTTTTCTAAAATGAGAACCTGCCCCGTGTGATAGCTCCTTTGAAAGGTTTTTAATTCATCTTTAGAGACGTGCAGAAGCAGATAAAATTACGATAATAAAATTATTTGGTTTCGCCGATGTGTATTCGAGACTTTTATGACAGAACTTTTTTGTCTATGAGATAGTCAAAACTGCTAGTTTTCACAATGTGCTTACTTTTAAACACCTATATCTCCAAAACTAAACGTATTTGAGATTTGAGATTTTTCTATAGGACTGTAAAGGGATAGCAACGAGCTATCCAACGATGTGCAGCAAAAGGTAGGTTCGTATTAAAAAAAAATAAGTTGGGGTGCATAGACTTTAGTGAATTGGTGACTGGTACTGGTGTCTCCCAGAAATCGACTTTCTTTAGTGCGTTTAGTTTATTATCGATTTGCCATTGTCAAACAGAGGTAAATAAAATACTGAATAAATATTAGTTAGTAGGAATGCATAGCCAGCCGGTCGCACACGCGTTCCTCCCTCCCCACCCAGCGGAACGACCGAAAAGAGTTTTCGACCGCATGACCGCAGGGTGTATCGCAGGTGCATCCAGACCGGTGCAACAAACAGCGCAAAACGTTCGCGAACGTTGCAGAACATGTCGGTTTGGACTGTAGCGCACTCAGAGCCGCTTTCCAGTCACGAATTTTAAGGTGCTCCACACCTGTAGCTTCATACTATGGTGCTCCAAACAACTTACTGTTGTGTCACTGGAACGCACCCTACTTTAAGCTTCGTGTTTTTGATGCCCCCATAAAATAGCAGGTGTTAGAGAGGGCCGGGGAGAGGAAAAACGAACAGTTCAGTAGCGCGAAACTCTAATGTACTGGAACGCCTATAAACAGCAGGGCGCTCTAGAGCAGCTCAGGAGTGCTAAGTGCGTCACTGGAAAGCGACTCAGATCTGCTCGCTCGGGTTTCGGAGGGCGGATGGCTAATTTGTGTCATTACCATCATGTTTGTGACCATCGAGTTTGGGGGGGCTAATCTTGAGCTTGGGGGGGCTAAGCCCCCCCCCCCGCCCACCCCTAATTGCGCCACTGACTAGACCATAAGTATGCTGAAATCGAAAAGCAAATGTCATTGGTTCCTTTTAGTACTCGAAGAGATATCTTTGGGGGCCATATTTATATTTGAACTGCTAAATGGGCAGATTGATTGTGCCGATCTTTTGAGTCAGGTGGGTCTTGGCATTCCTTATCAGGGTCCTCGTCATAAAGTAACCGTTCATATACCCTTTCATAGAACAACACATGGTAGTATGAGTCCTATAGATAGATATCTATATGTGCTTTTCAAATAATCTTAATATTGATATTTTTGTTGTTTTTAGGGCAGTTCAAACAATCCTCAAATCTGTGATTTGATATGTGATATGTTGTTTTTTTGTGTGTTATTTTTATTATTATTTTCTCGTACTTATTAGCTATAGGAAATTTTTTTTTCTTGTAGTACTAAATAGGTGTTATTTATTTTAAATTAAGTTGTTAGTTTTGAATCTGTACCTACATCAGTTCTTTTTATACCTATCCTTATTATCATTATTATTATTAAATTATTGAATTGTAAAGTTAGTGGGGGTTGCCCGTAAGTAATAAATAAATATACTTGGCGCAAAAAGGTTGCTGCATATGCGACAAACGCAAAAGTCGATAATATAATATTTATATAGTCAATTTAGTGATAGCTAAGCTGCGCTGAAGGCACTGGCATCCATACACTGTACATCGAAAACAATATCGAACTGCAAACAAGCCCTCCTGAATCAGCTAGGGGAGAATAACAACGTTACATTAGTCTGGTTACCAGGACATACCAGATATGGCCAACCCCGCAATCTCTATTTGGGCCAAATATAAAAGACAAACAAAACTGGGAGAGGTTACCAGATAAGAACTATGCAAAATCCTTTGTACCCACCATAAAAAGGAAAAAAGTGGCAGACAAACTTCTGGGAATGGGCAGGAAAACCCTCAAAGCCCTGGTGAGTCTGTAGACTGTACACTCTAGACTTCGGCATCACATGCACAGGTTCGGATTAGCACAAGATGCTGAGTGTCGCCTGTGCATGGAAGAGGACAAAACCGCAGAACATGTCCGGCAATAGCCAGAATCAGGCACGCTGTATTTGGGAGTCAGCTGTTCGACCCGAACACATGAAGCATGCTTCCTCTACGCTCATTTCCACTTGTATCAGGGGCTGGACTGTTGGAAAAATATAAAATCGAAGTGAGCCGCAATAGACCGCAGTTCGCAGTGGAAGGGCCGACATGAGACATGGGACCACTCACAGGAAACCTAGACCCTAAACTTACATAAATATATACCCTTGCATCTTCTTGGAAGTTTCCTCTAACGAAAATTTTATTTAGCAAGATTTGGATGTTGGTATCCAATGCCTTTTCTTCTATTTTTACCAGGGTGTGTTTAGTTTTGGTCATGGTTAGCTTCAGTATGTTTGCGCATCTTGCTGCAGATCTTCCTTGTTATTGAAAATCAAGAGATTTGGCAAGATTTATGTAAGGATGTTATCCAACCAAGCATCGTATCGTGTTGGTATAACATTCTTGAAAATCACCTGATGGAGTGACATAATAGTTATTTATGTATCAAGGGAATTATGAGGGTGTTAATACCCCAGGGCAAAGTTTGGGTCACCAATTGCCCGTGGGTATTAACACCTGATAATTCCCGTGGTACATAGATAATTTTATTTCCTAATGAATTTACTGTATTTTGTCCATTTTTATAAAGGAATGAATAAACCATAAACCAAAATTTCTATTTTTTGTCAAAATTTCACCTATTCAAGGTAAAAGCGGGAGTTATGGAAATCCTTAACTCCCTTGGGAGTTAAGACCCTGTTTATGATTATCGTAACCAAAGTATTATATGGTTATAATAGTTCAGTAGAAAATAAAAAAAATATGTACATAGTGGTCATTTTATCTTGATAATATTTTAAACTGTCATAATTTCTTTATTTTTGAAGTTATTTGAATTCATAAAAAAACGTACTGTAGAGTTGGTTTCCAAGTTTCAGATAGGGTCGACAAAAAATAAAATACTGATATATTTTGACAATTATGCACACAAATAACATTTTTTTGAATGGAACACCCAGTAAATTTTCAAATTCTTTGATAAAATGTTTCATTCTGATTGCAATACATACAATACAATACACTTTAATACAATTTATTCTATATTTACATGCAGAAGTTTTTTATTGATTCTAATGGAAAATTCTGTCTACCTACATACCTTTGCAGGTAATTTGTGTAGGTAATCAATATTTGCAGTTAGAATAAATGAAACATTTCTGCATGTATATATAAAGTGAATTCTATTCAACTGTATTGTATTGTATATAATGCAATTAGAATGAAGTATATTATCAAACAAACTTGAAATTTACTGGGTGTTTGATTTAAAAAAATGCTTTTTGTGTCCAAAACTGTCAAAATATATTAGTCTTTTGTTGTCTTGAGCTTGTATCTTAAATCTGTCTATATTTCAACAAGAAACCTACGCAACTATTCCACATAGGCAAACGTCAAATAAATCCCGTTGTTTATTTATTCAACACTGGATGAATCACTTAAGAAAGATTACTCACTTAATTGCAATGTTGAGTGTTTGTTTAACTATTTCTGTTGATTTGAAGATTCCTAATCCCTAATCGTTCGAGTTCGAATTTTGCCAACAAATTATATTTAGGAAAATAGCGCACTGTATTTGGACCCATTAATTATGTACCTATGTACCTATTAAAAGATCAGTTTTACATATCGTCCCCCTTATCACGTAGGGGCGTATCTAACACAAAAGTCTGAAATTGCGTTTTCAACAAATTTAGGCTTTTCTGAGGTACACTTTTGATCTCACAAAATGGGGTAACGTTATCTGTTATAGTTTCCTTTAGAGGACTTATCTTATTGAGAAAGAAAAAAATATATCACGTAGAGGCGTATATGCAAACTTTATTTTTTTCCAAAAAATCTATAAAAGCCATCACAGGTCCAGTACCTTATATTTATGAGATCATATACATAAGGTTTTAGTGTAGAAAAATTACCATGATCTGTTTAAAAATTAAAACACCAGATAACATTACAAATAGTGCATCTTACATTTTTATCGTCTCCTGAAAAAAATTACGAATTTCGATACGCCTCTACGTGATAAGGGGGACGATATTATTGGCGATCTCAGCACACTACAATCAGACTTGAACTACTACAATTCATTCTTTTGGGCAACTCTAGGCTCAAGTCTGCCCAGTCCCTTTACCTCTTCTGGAAAATCTCCGTCTGAGTGTATTACAATCTTATGAGATATCTAGAGCCACTACCTCTTGTGGGAAAGCCCCTCTAGATAGGAAGGATTGCCAAATGTATAAACAAGTTTCTTATGTCTAGACTATTTTATAATACTACTCGAGTTTCTCTCTGTCTTCCACCCTTATCTACGACCGCCATCCACCGGTGTCAGGCCAAGGGTGTGACAAATCGTTTTTAATTAACCAGACTAGGCGATTAAAATCTACTCGGTCCGAGAATAATCATCAATAAAGATGAAAATTACTACTCTTATTTCAATATTATTTTTTTAATCCTAATACATATGTATTTACCATATTTACAAAAAAAAATTGGATCGCTAAATTGGATAGTTGACCCACCCAGTCGTGAGAAAATCTAATCACGAATATAGAGAGAAGGCATCCGAAGCGAAGGCATGCGTTTTTCCACAGATCAATAGGAACAACGGAAAACAGCTGACACGCCGAAATAACTTAATTTTCCGATCCGATTTCCGTCGCGGAAAATTCATTTCGAGAAATTTTTATGATGCAATTAGGGGTGTGTAGGGATGCGTGATGCGATTTTTTTTTTCGTGTAGCTCAGATAGTAAATATGATAGGGTAACAAGCGAAAATAAAGGGTTTGAGAAATTTCAGTGCCAATTAGCTAAAAAGGAGTTTTTATTGTTATTGTTTTGTGTCATGTGTGGTTGAAAAAGTTAGGTTTCTGAGTGTTTTTTTTTCTGGTATTTTGGGGTGAGGTGTTTGAAGATTTTCACGAATTACGGCGGCATTTGATAGAGGTGAGTAAAATTAAATTTCATATTGATGAATTGATATACTATTTCAAATAATAATATTTGATTTCATTGAATCAGTTAAATATAGGTCAAACTGAGCATATGAACAAAAAATTAATACATCACCTACATAACTATTTATTTATTTTTTAAAGGAATAAAGGAAGGAAAAACTCAAAATAATAATTTTTCTTTGAAGAAGGACGTTAATAAATATACAAAAGCTAGTCCAAAAAAATAAAATCCAAAATTTCCAGAAAATCCTGGAAATAATTTTGAACATTTCTCAAATTTCAATATTAACTCAGTTGATCCTTTTTTTAAGAGAGGCCTTCAGGTTCCGCTAAATCATTTCTCAGCTTTTTTTTCCAATTTCTAAGTTTTTATATACTTATTGCAAATTGCAAGTAAACTTCTTTGTTCAGCTTCTGATTGAGTAGAGTTAGGACTATGGGTAAATTTTGCCAATGATCAAAATTTAATATTCTAGTTTAATGTCTGAAAGTGATAAAACATTGACTTTCTATACAGGGTGTCCAGAATAGTTAGTGTGAAGTTATCCATAAAATCTCAGCCATAAAACTATCGAATCGCGGTTTAGGCCTACTTTTAACTATACCGGCCGGATTCTCATAAATTCTAAGGGCTGTTTGTGTCATATTAGAAATAGCTATGAATGTTAGTTACTACTACTAACAATCAACCAAAATTTATTTTGTGTAATGCCCGCCGTCCGAGTGTCTCAAAAAAATTAGAAACCTTAAAAAGTCGTGATTTTTGTCAATTTTCGATTGTAGTCTCTACACGATTGTTTGTGCCGCTTTGAAAATAGTTACACATGTTAGCTACCACCCCTAGCAATCCATGAACATTAGTTTTGTGTAATGCCCCGCCGTTTGGGTGTCTCAAAAAAATTAAAAACCCTAAAAAAGTCGTGATTTTTGTCAATTTTCGATTGTAGGCTCTACAGTCAGACGGCGGGGCATTACACAAAACTAATTTTTGTTTATTGCTAGGAGTAGTAGCTAACATTCATCTATTTCCAATACGGTACAAACAGCCCCCAGAAATTATGAGAAACCAGCCGGTATAGTTAAAAGTAGGCCTAACCGCGATAGTTTCATGGCTGAGATTTTATGGATAACTTCACACTAACTCCGGAATAACATGATAAAGCTATTATAACACTATAACTGTTCAACTAACTATTCGATTATACATACTATACTTTCATACAGTTTTTGAGTAATCATACAGTTTCCTATGTACAGTTTTTGAATAATCATACAGTTCTGTATATTTTCGTATGGTTCTCCATTCGTAGGTCGATCGAGTGTAGGCCACTGGTATTTTCCTGTTTCTGACCACAGTGACCACCCCCTCAATTTTTCCATGTTAGTATATGAATTAAATCCTATGTAGATACTCATTCAACTTTCGATTCACAACGAACGCGGCGGACAACTTTTATAAGCTTACGATCCTTTCAAATTTTTCTAAAAAATTCGCTTCTTGGAATTTCCGATAAAGCCAATATTATAAATCGTTCCGTAATTCACTAGATTTTTCCTCCAGCAATTATTGAAGGATATCGCTATTATTTCAATTTGGTAATCATCCATAGGGAACCCCCCTTATTGCGGTGCTGTCGGATTATGCACAGTAACTAGGGAGAATGAAAATTTGGCTACGCCGCACTCCATATGATGTGCCGGAGATCATACGCAAGGACGACGGAACATATACAAGCACCCAAGTAACATTTTTCCGTCTTCCAACGTTATCTGCATCTATTTCAACGTCAGAATAGGTTCATCTATTAGTTGTATTACGACTTCATAGGTTCAGTCGCAGTACAACGTCTGCACAACGATGCTTCGACCACGCAAGCCGCCTACGAAAATTAAAGTAGCTTACGAGTAATTTGCCAACGTTGGCGTGACGTCCTTTTTCGACTAAAATATTGAAAGTTATCTTTGGACGTCGCTACAACGTCGCCATGACCTAGTATGGCTAGGAAAGATTTGGTATAGTAGGCAACGTTGGTCGGACATTGTCATTCGACTTAATTTAAATAGGCGGCACCAAGTTTTCCGACAACGTTGGTTCGACGTCGGTTAATTTACCAAAATTGATTAAACTCTACACAAAATAACATAACCAAACTTTTTTTGGTCGGTGAATCGGATCAGTGTTTCCGAAAAGACCTACTGTGTGTCTGATATGTGACACAAATAAAGCCTGAGTTCCATATACCTACTCCTTTCCATTGGTCGTAATCGACACTGTTAGTATTGATCAATAGAAACTTTATTTACATATCTATAAATTAATTAAGCTTTACCCGTCGTCCGTGAAAGGTAGGCTCGATATCGCGATTATTTTTATGAACAGATTTCGTATAAAAGAATCTACATATTGCGACTAAAGGTCGCCACAGGTAAAAAATAGGGAATATTTATCTGACCAAAGATTGGGCATAGTCAGTTTTCGTGCAATTTTCGTCGCTTTCGACATCAGCTGTTCCGGCCATTATTGGGTTCGACCGACATTATTGTTGCTATTTTAGATTAATTTTAATTTTACAGTGAATATCGGCAAGATTAGTCCTTCATAAGTGAGCTTCACCCACCACTTTGAACCCATATTAAACAAAAAATTAAAATTAGAAAATTAAACAAAAATTGATATTTTTCTAAATTTTACTGATTTTTGGGGGGGCGGTTGTGTTTTTAGTCCTACTTTAGTTATTTTTATCAATAAAGTGACCTGCGTTTATAAATTTTGACCAGCGGAACTTCTGAAATGCACTAATAAGTTGCAAGAACCTAGATATATATTACAACGAAATAAAATAGTTGACGTCATTTTGTGTCGTTATGTTTCCAAAATAATATCCACATTTTGTAGAAAATAGGGTAAAATCTTTAGACCAATTTTTAAAAGGTACAGTTTAGGTATAAATAATTAGATCTTCCCGACTTTTCAAGTCAGAAATGGTATACCATTCCCAACGTCAAATTACGTAGTGTTTAGGTCCGCTTAAGGACTCAAGTCAGATTCCGACGTTGAATCCACCGAAATTTCATTCCCCATTTAAGTGGAATTTTGGTCGTTAGGAAATCATACGGGCGTCGCATGCCGACTCAGGTAGAACATTTTTAACGTAATATTACGTCAAATGACGTCGGATTGTTAGTTGGGAACGAGCGAAAAACGAACACATTTCTACTGGACAAACACTACAATGGGACAGATGAAAAAGACATAAACAAAATAGAGATGTACGAGGCATCTGCGGAAAAAGAAGGCCACGTGCAACTACCGCATACCCAACGAGGCGGTCAGTCACATATTTGACGCAATACCAGACACCGTGACAAAAAAGACTGCTTAAGATTAGGTAATTTCCCCGCGGTATGGAAAAAAGCAGATATAGTATGGATACCAGAAGAAGGACAGTACAATGAGACCCATAAGCTTGCTCCCAACGCTGGGAAAAGTCCTAGACAAATTAATAAATAAAAAACTCCAGATACACTTAGAAAGATCAGGAAACATCAGCGAAAGGCAGTACGTGTTCTGGGAAGGAACGGGTACTGTCTAGGCAATGGACAGCGCAAACAACAAATGACAGATAATCAATGGGGACAGACTAGCCGACACACAAGCATACGCAGACCTCACGCAGAGGACCAACTGACCACTATAGCAGGCTCCTTGAACAGCATAGAACGCAAATGGAGGGAAGTCTGGAGAGCGTGCAAGGCATGAGAGAATACCAGCAACGTGAAATACAATACCGACAAAACAGAGACTCTGTTCATGCCACGACACGGAAATACCAGAGAATTCAGAATAAAATTTGAAGAACCGGCAGTAATCTCGAAACAATACTTGAAATACCTAGGACTCACCATTGATACCCAGCGAAACTACATACAGCACACGAGAACCACCAGAATCAAAGTAGCAAAAATAACAATGACGATAACAGGCATGATTAGTAGAAAGTGCGGTCACAACAGGGACGTGTTGAGACAAAGGTCCTTAAACCAGCCTTGATATACGCATGTGAGATATGGGGAGAAGAGCCAACTCTGTACACGGGAGAAGGCACTTGGAACAACGGCCAACTGCACGCTTAGAGTAATGGCGGGCGTCCCACCACTATGACTCGAGGTGAAAGAAAGAAGGAGGGACTGGATGGCTCTGCATCAGAGCAGACAAGCGGAATAAATAAGAACCATATACAGACCTCACCCAACGACAAGGGGCAGAGGATCCAGGAGCAGAACGAAGAAAACTGGAAAGAAACCTTCGTATAGACGCCACTATTAACCACCAAGGAAGAACGGGCATTTTGGTGAATGCGACAATGGGGGACACAACAGAACAAAGATCGAAAAGAGCGCCAGACAACACGAACATAGACGCAGCCGAGATGGTGGCAATCCTCAAATGGGAGAACAGCTGAGGATTGACCGAATGATGCAACGGACAGGAAATAGACAATAAAACGCATTTCGATACAGAAAATAAAAGACAAAACCACGGCGCGCGTTCTGAAGCACGCAGAGAAACTCATGGAGCAGAACAAATCCGTCCTGTTCAGATGACGGAAAGGCCATCATAATGAAGGCAGCCCTGGGAAAAGAGAAGCGGATAGGCTAGGCAGGTTGGCCTTGGAACTCCCGGAAGAAGACCAGGACCTAATAACATACAGACACACGGACAGAGAAACGGTGAAGAGTACAAGACATTAGCCGTCACAGAGCTTCGGAGTCGCGCGCATCTTCTGTCATTTCTTTGTTTGTCATGTCAGTTCCAGCAGCTGATTATCTGTTATTTGTTTATGTTTGAAGTCGATATCGTAATCTTTATGTCTAGCTTTAAAAAAAATTTACTTGTTTTTTTTTTAAATAAAATAGTAATTTATGAGGACTAGAACCCACTAGATGGACAGGTTAGTTTGGGTTAGTCTGCATTTTCTGTCTAAAAGA